GCAGGAACTCTTCCAACTCAGCTCCCATTAACCCTACAAGCCAAAGCCCTAATGGGAAGGGTGGCCCAAGCTGGACAAGCAGCGAGAAGCTTGCCAGGCAGTGCTCTCAATGACAAACCTATGCCGTTTTAGTTGGCTAGACTCCAGCAGTACCCCAAAACACACTCTGGAGTTCCCAAGCTTTGGTTCTTGCCAACCTGCACCTAATACTCTCCAGAATTAGATAAGCAGAAGATGTCTCGCTCCAGGGATAAAGTGCACATAATAATAATAATCCTTCCATTTGATATATTATGTCGTTGAGATGTCTCAAAGCACTTCACAGGATGTACTGCAAAGTGGATTGACTGTATTTTGTGGGTGAATCAGCAATGTCCCACAAACAACCATGGAATAAGTAACCAATTTAATTTGGGGAGATTGTTGGCCAAGACACCGGGAGAAACTCCCTTCTCTTTTCGAATAGTGCCACAAGATCTTTAACGTCCAACTGAACAGCAAATGGGACCTCGGTTTAACATCTCATCCTACATTCCATTCCAATAAATATCTCTGGAATTTCCATGTATAGGTGGGATGCATGGAACTCAGTTTTAGATATCTTAAGCATGGTGAAGTGTCAGACATCAAACTGACAAAAACATATTTATTTGAAAAATGTGATAAGCAATATGCAACAGTTTCTAGTTAGATATTTCTGTTTGTGAGGCTGATTGTGACTGATGTATACGTTTGTTACTCATGAATTGTACAGCCAACCCCACTAGTCTCATATTCAGTATGTCACTCTATCTCACATAGTATTTTGGAGCTGAAATTGTGACATTCAGAAACCAGAACTACCCTAAATGCAGATTGTGATCTACTGCAATATCATAGAAATCAAAATCTGTTTTGCGGAAGGCATTCTGCTGTCCATTCTTTTATTGAACATAATAATATTAATAATAATCCTTGAATTACTATAGCACCTTATTACATAATTGAGATGTTTCACGGGATATACTGTAAAATGGATTGACTGGGTAATTTTGTGGGCGAATGCAGCAGCCAGTTGCGCGCAGAAATGTCCCACAAACAGCCGTGGAGTGAGTGATCAATTTAATCATTGGGTATTGTTGGCCAAAGCACTGGGAGAATATCCCTTCTCTTTTCAAATAATGCAATGAGACCATCAACATCCACCTGAACAGGCAATTGGGACTTGGTTTAACGTCTCATCTGAAGGATGGCACCATTCTGGACATTTTCTTGCAGTTGCCATTGTGAATTTTGGATTTGCCATCTCAGGTCTCATGGCCTGGAGTCTTAACATGTCAGAGTGCAGGTCCCACAGGTCAGAATCAGGTCCCACAGGTCAGGAGTGCAGGTCCCACAGCTCAGACTGCAGGTCCCACATGTCAGAGTACAGGTCCCACAGGTCAGACTACAGGTCCCACAGGTCAGGAGTGCAGGTCCCACAGGTCAGACTGCAGGTCCCACAGATCAGACTGCAGGTCCCACAGGTCAGACTGTAGGTCCCACAGATCAGGAGTGCAGGTCCCACAGGTCAGACTGCAGGTCCCACAGGTCAGACTGCAGGTCCCACAGGTCAGACTGCAGGTCCCACAGGTCAGGAGTGCAGGTCCCACAGGTCAGGAGTGCAGATCCCACAGATCAGACTACAGGTCCCACAGATCAGGAGTGCAGGTCCCACAGGTCAGACTGCAGGTCCCACAGGTCAGACTGCAGGTCCCACAGGTCAGACTGCAGGTCTCACAGGTCAGGAGTGCAGGTCCCACAGGTCAGAGTGCAGGTCCCACAGGTCAGACTGCAGGTCCCACCGGTCAGACTACAGGTCCCACAGGTCAGGCTACAGGTCCCACAGATCAGAGTGCAGGTTTTACGGGCTGGAATCTAGGTCTCTCAGACCTCAGCCCAGGTCTCCCCACATCTTATAAACTGCTTTGCTGGATGTCTATTAAGCAAAAGCACTTTTCTGTGGGATTTATTTCTATTCTCTAGTTACATTTGAAGCTGTTTAAATGTGAGTCCTCTAGTTCTTCTCTCATAGTTTTAAATCAAATTACAAAATCAGTTATATCTACATTATCATTATCAAGTCCCGAATCACGTCTGCCCCTCTCATATTTTTGCATTTTGATCAACCAGGTATCTTGACACATGCGGATTCAGGTCCAACAGGTTAGAGTATCACTGTGCTTAAGAGTATCCAAAGCAGACTTCCATGGATGCCACCTATACATTCTTGTGTTTGGAATGACACACTCTCTCCTCTGGGGAGATGAATTCTGCTTAAATTAGACACAGGTTGGCAAGAGCCATGGCTTAGGAACCTCAGAGTGTGCGTTGGGAGTTGCTTGCATTCACTTGGTATCTCAGCACATGACTCAATACTTTATTATGCAACATATAAAACTTTCAACACAAATTTCAAGTTTATTTTGATAATTGGAATGCTAATTATAAATGATAGAATACTGTAGTTTATAATGCATTTAAAACAGAAAAAAAACATGGAATGTAAATTATAAACAAATAAAATACTAGGCATGACAATTATTTGTATTCCTCTGCCTAACCTCAAATCCATTGTTTTAATTGCCTTTACTTGTAAAAATTGCAATAGGAATTAGCCTGGTTTAATAATAATAGTAATATTCCTTGCATTTGATATAGCGCCTTAGCATGTCTTCGAATCACCTCAAAGCGCGTCC